CCCGTGTATACATAAGTCTGTAATATGAACCTATTCCATATGACATCAGTAAAACAAATGTGTGTTATATACCGTATGTATATATACCTATATATCTTTTCAATAGACTGCAATGAATAAGTCACATAGACCTCTCATTTTCTACAAAAAGAGAACATTTTAGCAATAAAACAATAAATATAACAATAATAACAATAAAATAACAATAAAATAATAATAACAATACAACTTTTACAGGAAAAGCATGAAATTGTATTGTGTTTACTTATGTGGAGTCAACCATTAACCTTCAAGAAGGTAGATGTTGAACTGTATAGAACTAATTTATCATTACGAACAAACAATTTTCAATGAATTGTAACTTATGCAAAACGTTGGTGAGTTAAGGTTGTATTTTAGAGCAACTGTGCATGTGCTTTCCCTAATCCCCATCTTCTCCTTCTTCTTCTTCTTCTTCTTCTTCTTCTTCTTCTTCCCAACAGGCAGCAAGGACAATTAATCTGAAACCTACTGTGCTCAAAGGCGTTTGCAGCTGAGACATCCTTCCTTTCTCACACTGCCAGTGGCTCTTTGGAAGCGCTCACCATTTCAGTGCTCCCATCAGCATGTGCATCTGAATTTACCACATTCAGCAAGACAACTCCCAAAGCACACACTCATTCACAACGATCCAAAACAGCGACACAATTCTGGGGCCTCAGTAGTATCCTTTTGCTTTTCTCATAATAACAGAGTTTTTGGCTTCTTTTTCATTTCCAATCTCAGAGCTCTGCACTGAAAATGCCATGAAATAAACCCACAAGACCAACCCCTGGTGTGATATGGAATGACCTGCAGAGAACATCAACTGTTGAATTTAATATTCAATCCAGGTTTTCTTTTACTGCTGCTCTTTCCGGTAAGGAAAAATGTGAATGGCTAAAAAATTGAAATGCTTTGCATGTATTCACTTGTTGTATGCAAAATACATACAAATATAGACACACACACGCACACCTATACACGTACAGTGTGCGAACACACAAATGCATGGCAGCCCAGTGGGCAGATGGATAATGGAAGAAGACTGTGTAAATCCCATATGTGCTTAATCCAGACACTTACAAGAGAGTGTGATTCATACTCTATTACACTTGACTAATACAGCTGAGAGACGCACAGGGCACAATCATTTCAGCAGGCATGAACCAACAAAATAACACCCATGAATCCTCTTTATGGGGACTTTACTGAAGAGGGTGTGGAAGGTCAAGAATAAAGCCTTTGTACTTATTAGCCATTAAAACAATGGTGGAGGTGCGCCACACCCACATCGTGTGTGCAAGTGTTTGTTAGTGTGTGAGTGTGTATTACTGAGCCTGTGAATGTGTGGAAAGATAACAAGGGTTTGCAGCAAGGTGCAGGTTTCCAGTATATAAAGTGCTTTTCTGCAGATCACATTAATGGCAGGCCATTTTCTCTCAGGAAGTGGGCTGTGAGGTTGATGAGGCTGTTAAAGTCCTGTACTACAAAACTTTATTCAGTATATATATATATATATATATATATATATATATATATATATATATAT